GTGTTAAGAAAACAATAACGCTTTTTTATCTTGACCGTTGTGTGTTTTAGCTTTCAGTTCCTAGAGCTCAGCCTGACTCCCTGAGCTGAACTGGGACCTGTCTGCGTACAAGATAAGAAGAAAAAAAAAAGACACTAAAGTCTTTTCTTTCTCTCTTTTTTGGACTTTTTGGATACTGGTATTTTTCTGTCACATACTTAATGAAATCTAGAAATTTCTTTTGATGGAGCCAAAAATAGACTGAATGATTTCTATTACACTGCTGCAAGATACAGTAAATATTTTACTCCCCTCTGCATTTGCATCACTTCATCTTTACAGCCGTTCACCAAAAAAGTAATAAAAACAAACATAAATGTCATTTTTTTAAATCAATCCCTAAGTGGCCCTTAGAATTTGTCTTTTGGGTCCACGAGACACAATGTCTGTTAGTCTATTTTGCTAAGAAATGTAATGTTTGAGCAGCAAACTCCAAAGACCCCAAGCACACAGATCAAAATGTAGCTCTTTCTTTGGCTTTAATTAATTAATTAATTTACAGTATGAATAAGACATGAAATGTAGAAGTGACTCTCTTTGCTGAATAAATCATATTCTTGAGTCAAGGCAGAGAAAATGCAACGTTCTTGACAAAAATAATAAAAATTAACTCTACTGGTGCCGCTATAGTGCCAGCAAATCAAACTAAGCCAAACTAAACTGTCACTTCTGAGAAATGATTATTTATTTAGGTTCATATGTAATATTTGGAGCATTTACAGCAAAAGCTAAAATCACTAAATGCAAAAACACAGTTTCAGGATTGTCAAAACTGAAATTTGCACGACATTTACAACCTGAAAACAGAGCAGAATGCCTGGACATTTGTGGAAAGATTAAGAAATGACAAATAAAAGTGGTTTTATTGTTATTTATGACCTACAAAACTTACAGTGGAGTTGTACCTTTATAGATTTAGTATGTTTCTGTTTTTTATAACTTTCATATGTTTCATATCATTTAATACATCTCAATAGCAGACAAAAATAACATGATTAAATTCAAAAAGCTATTCAAATCCAACCTGGCTCTGTGTGAAAAAGCTAAGTAATGTTTAAAACATTAAAAATCAATAATAAAAACATGTAAAATCCTAAATGTCAGCAGAGTTTGAGGCTATGAGAAGGAGAAATTGGCATTTTGTTCTTTTTTTTAAAGGCTGTATGGATAAAATAAAGGCTGTAAAAGGTGCAAAGGGGCTATTTAGACACAAGTCATTAAGCATACTTTGACTGATGCAAACATTGTAACTGAAATATTTTCTTCATGGGAAAAAGTCGTTTGTTGGAAAATTGCAGTAAATCCTCTGAGTTAGTGGATCCGTTCATGCAGAGCCAAGCTCCCTCCTGTTTCTTGTGACGGTGGCCACAAATCAGGATGTGAACATGACATACACACAGAGACAAATACATCCAAAACTGTTTTTTTTATGAAAACAGCATGCAGGAGAACTGAGAGCCCGTTTTCTCTCTTTATGTCAGATTCAGCTGTTGCCTCTATGGTGAGGAGGCCAATAAAACCGCTGCCATTCCACAATGTCTCAGCCTTCCAAACCTGATGTTTTAGATGAGTTTGTACACCAAACACCCTCTTCCTTTTACTGCCACTTTTAAATTGCTCCAGAAAGAAAACATCATTCTCTTTTAGCATTTAAATGCATGCAGCACGAACGTTATAATTACCAAATGTGTCAATCTGCTGCTCGGCATGGGTTTTTGGAGATTTTTTTCTGACACAGCTGCCTGACTTTTTTTTACTGAATCCACCTCCCCGGCTTTATACATCATCTTTATTTTATTAAATACAAAATATAAAGAGACACTATTTTCAGACATTATTAAGTTAGCGAGTAGAGCTTTGCCACAAAACTAATAGACACTGGTTCAACACTCCCACAATATGCAAAAAATAAAAACAATAAGATAAATAAATGAAAACAGGCTAAGTAAAGTTGGACCAGAGACAAACAAACCAAGAATTCAGCAAACGGGTGACACAAAGTGATCAGTATAGGTGAGACGAAAGATTTTTCTATTAGATCATCCCAAAGTTAATTGGAGGGAAGTGGAGTTGAATGAGAGTTGGAGAGATGCATTGCCAGGATTTGGTGCGGGTAAGGATCCTGGCAGCAGATTTAGACAAACTGGAGCCTTTTGAGGCTTTCATATTCCTCCAAACAAGACTTGACTGCAATGATCCACACTTGAGGTTAGAAAAACACGAGAAGTGTTCTCCCACAAAGACAGAGAGTGACAACTGAGGTATAGAGATTGGTTTATGGAAGAAAAATTAAGATTTGGTGACAAATTTATGTTGAAAGTTTTGGGATGAGGGAAGGTTTTTGGGTCTCTGAGAATGAACGGAGGACATATCACCCAGTTTTGAATTTCTTTAAATTTTTGTATGACGTAAAATACTGAAAATAGAAAATCTGATTGAAATTAGCAGCCTATTAAAGGTTTATACTATAAAAGGATACAGAGATTTTTCCACATCAGATGCTTGATTCAAATGAAAATCTGAATTCCGTAAAAAAATGAATAAATAACTTTTCTGGATCCTGATATGGATCTTCAGAGTGTAATATACCACCTAATCTGGGCTGCCTCCCGACTTCTGGTAAAGGTTTTTTTAAATATAATTTAGGGATGCAACGATACCACTTTTTTCCAAACCGATCCGATACCGATACTTGGATCTGAGTACTCACCGATACCGATTACCGATACAGATACTTCTACCACACAAAAAAATGCAATGGATTGGAATACAGGTTTTATTTTCTTCTGTTTTCAATAGGAAAAGACTGTGAGGTAGATAAAAAGTAATATAAGTGATCACAAAACTAAAATATTAGGTGAACAGAAATGACAGGTTACAGTGAAGTCACTTTCAAGCAACTGCATTGGTATCATTTACTGGTATCTGTTAACTTTTAACAATACCGATACTGGTAACAGTATCTGTTTCGGCACCAATACCAATACCAGTATCGGTATCAGTGCATCCCTAATATAATATATAGCGTTTTGAGCAAATAAACCAATCCAAGCAGACCATTGTCTTGGAAAAGGGTTTTCTCTCCAAATCCAACAAACAATTATTACCAGTAGAAACTTTTGGCCATTTCTGTGTCTGTTAGCAAAATTACAATAAAAAACTCATGAACCATTTTTAATTTATGAAATCCAAGATGGCATTTTTGCAAATGAAAAATTAGCTGATCACGCTTAAAGGCACACTTGGCAGATTTCCTTGCTTTTAGCACCCTCGGGTCTGTTTAGTTGAACTAAGAACAAAACTTATCTCCTCGCTGTGCGTTTGTCTTTTTAACACCTTCATCTAACAGTTGAAATGTCTCTTCAGTCTTCATTACTGTCTACAAGAGTGACATATCTAAATCAAACAAACCAGCTGTGTTCATCATCTAAAACATGCAGGAAACACACAGGAAGCAGACTGCAGCGCCAGGTAGATCAGCTTCATAGACATACCTGGCAACTCAAACAGACCAGACCAGCACTCTGAAGTTGCAAATGCGGTATTCTGGTATTAGCAAAAATAAAATGACGAACTGCCTACATTATATCACTGACAGGGTAAGACTATTACCCTGGGCAAAACTCTGGATAGCTCCTTCAAAGGTGCAATACATTTTTCCCACCTCTAGGTGGTGCGCTCTGAGAAAAAACTCCAGATTTCTGCTCCAACATTATTTCTTAAATATGACAAAAACAACCATCTTTCTCAACATGCATTTTATTTGTTGCACTTCTCTTGTTAGATTTTCCTTTTGGTGAAAATGAAACAAAAATATTTTTAATCATGGTTTATGAAAAAATATTTATTTTCTAATCAGCTCAAAATAAAAGGCTTTCATCTCATGTAAGTTTTAAGACAAGCTGTTGTCGCTC